GAATCACTACAAGTCCAATCTACATAGTGAGACCCTGTAGATCTTGCAAACCCTGCAGACCCTGTACTAAATACATAAAAAAGAAGTAAAAAATAATAAGGAACCAGGAAGTGATAATTCAACAGTTACAAGATGATACCAAGAAACATAAGACTGTGAGGTGTCAATAGAAAAGCAGGAATCAACAGGAATGACATAAAAAGACTATTTGTACCAAGTAATAGCAGAAAATTTTCCAAGCATGGGAAAAGAATCTGATACACAGATAGAACTCCAAGAAGCCATAACCAAAATAAATCAGATAGTTAATGATCAAGATCCAAGAAATTCAGCAAAAGAACAGAATATTAATACCTGTTAGAGAAAAGAAACAGATCAAATATAATGGAAAGCCCATCAGAATTCATGGCAGATTTCTCAACACAAAACATCAAGTCAAGAAGAGCTTGGTGCTGGGAAGACAGCTCAATGACACAAGTGCCTTCCTGGCAAGCACAAGGTCTCAAGTTCAATCTCTAGTACCCCCCTCAAAATAACTTCCAACCCAGATTGATGTACCCTGAAAATTTGTCGTTCAAAAATTAATGGAGGAATAAAATACTTCCATGACAAAGAATAACTAAAGAAATTCATGGCCACCAAACCAACCATATAAACAATACTGAAAGATATTCTAGAAAAAAAAAATGATCACAATTCCAAGAACAACAGTAAAAAGAAATCACCAAACAGCAAGTAAACAGAGGAGGAAAGTTGGGAACTAACAATGGGAAAATAACATGACAGACACAAGCCAATACATATCAGTAATAACCATTAATGTAAATGGCCTCAATTTACCAGTCAAAAAAAAAAAAAATACTGGCAGTGTGGATCAAGAACCAAAATCCTATGAATACTGTATACAAGAAACACATGTAACTCAAAAGGAAATTCATTGACTCAAAATCAAAGTATGGAAAACAATACTCCATCTGATAAGAACCCAGAAAAACACAGGGGTAGCTGTTTGGTTGTTAATGATGTGAACTTCAAACCAAGAATGATCAAAAGAGATAAAGAAGGTCACTATATACTTGTTAGGGGAAAACTGTAAGAGGAAGAGATAATAATCATAAATGTATATGTACCCAATGTAAGAGCACCCAACTAAATAGGATAAATTTTAACAGATGTGAAAAATCAAATAAGCAATAACACAATAGAAATAGAGGATTTCAATACCCCATTATCACAAAGAGATCAACTAGACCAAAAAAAAGAATAGCAAAGAAATAACAGAACTAAACCAAACTTGTAAACAAATGCCCTTACTAGAACTTTACAGAATGTTCCACACAACATCAGAATAAAGTTACTTAAGTAACTGTAAAGGAACTTAAATTATCCTATGTATATTATTGGACCATAGTGCAATGAAATTGGCCACTTTTTTTTTTTTAACCAGGAATTGAACTCATGACCTTGCACTTGGCAGGCAGGTACTTGAAAGAAAGAAAGAAAGAATTTTTTTTTTAACCAGGAATTGAACTCATGACCTTGCACTTGGCAGGCAGGTACTTAGCTGCTGAGCTATCTCACCGGCCCAGTGCAATGAAATTGGAAATTTTGCCAAGAGAAATTTCAAAAACTCCATAACATATGGAAATCAAATAGCACCCTCCTGAAAAACCAATGGGTCATAGATGAAATTAAAGAAGAATATTTGCAATCAAATGAAACTATTTGCAATCAAACAAAAATGTAGGTACAACTTACTAGAACCTGTGGGACACAATAAAAGCAGTCTTCAGAGGGAAACTCATAGCAGTGAGTTCTCACATCAGGAAAACAAAATGAGCACAAATAAACAACTTTATGCTGCATCTCAAGCTTCTACAAAAAGAAGAGCAACTCAAGCCCAAAGCCCAATGTAAGGAGGAAATTATAAAGATTAGAGCAGAAATTAATAAAATTGAGATTAAGAAAATACAAAAAATTAATGAATTGAAGAGTTGGTTCTTTGAAAGAATAAATAAAGTTGATAAGCCCCTAGCCAACCTTATCAAAAAGAAGGAAAGAAATAAATCCATGCAATAAGGAATGAAAAACATGAAATCACTGCAGATCCTCTAGAAATTCAGAAGATTATCAATACTTCAAAAATCTTTAATATGAAGTAAAACTGTTGTTATGGTTTGTGTCTAGGTGTCCCCTCCAAAGCCTCATGTAGTCTTGGGGGGGTTTCTGGAGTTTGTGATTGATTACTGTGGGTGTAGTGGCAGCACCTGCCTGGGGCAGGTAATTTGCATTTCAATGTAAGGAGGGAAGAGAAGCTAGCTGCTTGAGCTGCTGCTACCCCTCCCTCCCTCTTGCTCTTTGCTGCCACCATGAAAGGTTGCTTTCTGCTATGTGCTGCTCTGCCTTAGAGCCAGCTGAGTGTAGACTGACACCTCCAGTAACTGTGAGCTAAATAAACCTTTCCTTCCTTCATTTTGAGTGTCGGGTATTTGTCCCAGCAACGAGTAAAAAGTAACTAAGACAACTGTATAGGAAATAATCCATAGAATCAACAACTTGGATCTCATCTTATTGAAAAGCTTTTGCACATCAAAAGAGATCACCAGCACAGTAAAAAGGAAACCCATAAATTGAGAAAAACTTTAGACAACTATCCTTCAGACAAAGGACTTACATCTAGAATATATAAAGCCTTTTTTTAAAAAAACAGGCCCCCAAAATTCAAAGGTCCAATCAAAAATGGGAATCTGAGATGAATATATACTTCCCAAATGAAGAAATACAAATGGCAAATAAATATATGAAATATATATTTTTATATTTATATTTCATATAAATAGAAATAATTATATGGAAAATCATTGGCCATTCGAGAGATGCAAATTAAAAGAATTCTGAGATTCCATCTAAACCCAGAAAGAACGAACGGCTGTCAGCAAGAAATCAGTCAATAGACTGGGGAGATAGCTAGGCGATCTAAGTGCCTGCCTGGCAAGTACAAGATCCCAAGTTTGATCACCAGGACCGCATGCCATGCTGGCCCCAGAACCCAAGGGGGCTTCTGTACTACCCTTTGAAACCAGGAGTGGTGACACACACTTGTAAGTCCTGCACTGGGGAGGCCAAGACAGGAGGATCATCACAGGTCCAAGCTGCACAGCGAGACCCTGTGGGAAATAAATAAATAAAAGATTTTTAAAAAACAACCAGTAACAAATGATGGAAAGGTGGTGGGGAAAGGCAACACTTTTCTACTGTTGGTGGGAATGTAGACTGGTGCAGCCACTGTGGAAATCAGGCTGGAGATTCCTCAAAAAGCTAGGTCTCATTAAACCCAGCTATTCGCCTATATATGCATCCATGTTTATAGTAGTGCAATTTTTCATAACTAAATTTGGGTTGGAAACACCCCAAATGCCTATCAACTGAGAAATGGATACAAAAGATGTGGTATCTTTACACAATGGAGTATTACTCAGCTATAAAGAAAGATAAACTCAAGGGTTTTGTAGATAAATGGATACAATTAGAGACTGTACTCATAAGTGAAATTGTGAAAGGGAAAGAAACTGCTCAAAAGGAAGGAACAACTGGGATGAAGGAAAGGAGGAAAGAAAGAGAAGAAAGAAGAAAGAAAGAAGAAAGAAAGAAAGAAAAAAGAAAGAAGAAAGAAAGAAAGAAAGAAAGAAAGAAAGAAAGAAAGAAAGAAAGAAAGAGAAAGTATATATATAAGATAGCTAAGATAATTGTACTACTAATGTCTATTGGCTTATTGAAAGGAATAATTATTGTTTAATATTTTTGACCAATTTTGCATTCTTATAGTTGTAATCTGAACAACTACACTGAAGACATTATGCAATATAACAACCATTATTGAATTTATATCATACTTTTTTCTGAAATTCTGTATCATTTCTAATTTTTTTTAATTATTTTTTGCTCTCTTTAAAATAAAAAAGATGGGCTACTTATCCTTCTCGGGAAACTGTCTCCGAATGGTTCTCCGAAGTCAGGACGTCCACAGCCATCAGGTCAGCCAAGGATCAGAACTGTGCATTGGAGCTATCTGAGGAGGGCTAGCACTGGGATGCCCCCATCAGGATGGATACAGACCTCTAGCTCAGTGAAGCAGATCACCTGAGCCTGCTGCACGTACTTGGGCAGGATTTAAGCCACACACTTCCCACAGGCTGAGAGCTGCTTGTGGGTCACGGCTTCCTGGCACCTGACAGCGGGGCAGGAGTCTTTCTCAGTGCTCTCCCTCCCACTGCAGCAGCTCTGAGGGTCGTCCAGACCTCCACCCCTACCTCCCCACCTCCCCACTTTATTCCCACACCACATAACCCAACTGCTGTGGCCCCCACCAGCCCTCACTACCAGACCCAGGCCACAGCAGTGTTCATGTTCCCCAGATGTAGACCCCTGCTGGGGAATAGACCACATTTCCTGGGGTTTCTACCTCCTCAAGGGAAGAATAAATGCTCCCAACTCCAGGAAGTAATGCAGCCCTCTCTCTTGAGGGCTTTTGCTCAATTTCTTTAGAATTGTATACTTCTAAATCTCTACCTAATGAATTACTTTGATGTCTCTTTTTGACTAGTCTTGAAAATTGTTTCCAGACAGTCAGTGAACTTGTAATCATTCTCTGGGAGTAGAAGGGGTGGCTAGGTTCCTTATCAGCTTTGGGAACCTCACTCTCTGTGGTGACAGGCATATGAATAACCCTTCTAAACTATGTGGTCACAAACTATTCAGCACAGGTAGGTCCCTAAAGCCAAGACCATATTCCCAAGGCCTCCCATTCTCTCATTATTCTCAGAAACACAGCTGAATAGTGTTCAATCATTTGAAGTGTATTAACCAATACCAAATTAATTTAACACCAGTCTCCTGGCTGGGTGACTTTCCCCTGTAAGGTGGAATTCACTAGTTGGACACCAGAAGTAAGCTATTACGTATGGGGAGAGGTTAGGCCTCCAGAAACCACACTACAGCATAGCTAAAGTGGCGGCCTCCACAGAATTATAGGGGAACTCAGAATGCAGAGTTCATAAAAGTGAGATAGAAGAGAGGTAAAAGATTATCTGAATACTTTTCCAAGGAGTGATGACACAGTTCAGCCAGAAGAATTTCCTAAGTGTGTTTTCCAGGGTCTGAATTCTAATTCACATGGAGACTGACCTGCCTCTGCCTACCACACCTCTATCTTCCTGGAAGTCTCTGTAAGCATAAAGGAAGTATCTGGAGCCCACTATACAGCAGTGGAATGGCTTCATACCTTCCCTACCTTCAATCTGGAGGATTATCAGATTTCCTCATGGGCCTGTCATTTTCTCAGCCTCAGAGGCCCTGAGTTACCTCAGGCCCCAGTAACTCAAGTAACAGATCCCAACTTAAAGAGAATGACTACAAGAAGCATTTGATCTGATTCAGCTCTTAACTCAGCTATGGTTGCCAAGAGAAATATTAAAAAGTGGTCTTTTATGAATCTTCCAACTGCCCATCCAAATTGGGTCTCTATTCACCACTCCCCAGGAAGCTGACCTGTATGTAATATTGTCCCTTGACCTCTGGCTGCAAATGGCATCAGCTAGGGAGCCCCGCATAGGGCTAGGAAAGTGAGGGAAGAGTGAGATAGGAACACTCCTCTCCCTGTTCCATTCTCTCCCTGGGGGCCACGATGACCTGACTGTGTCCTCACCTGAAGTCACTTCTCTGAGGTGCTGACTTCCTTGTTTCAGTAGATGTTTCCTGCTCTCCTCCCTGTGATTCTAAGAGGAGCAAAGGTTTAGCTGCCACAAGTTCCAGGTTAATATACTCTCTCTGTCTCTCTCTCACTGTCTGTCTGTCTGTCTGTCTGGCTGGCTGGCTGGCTGGCTTTGGCTCTGGCTCTGGCTCTGTCTGTCTGTCTGTCTGTCTCTCTCTCTCTCTCTCTCTCTCTCTCTCTCTCTGTGCATGTATGTCTCTCTCCCTCCTTGCCTCTCTTGCTCCTTCCCTCCTTTTCTCCCTTCTTCCCTCCCTCCCAGAATGTTAGAATTACAGGCATGTGTCACTATGCTCTGTAGTCTTTATATAGAGTTTATAGAGTCTTTTAATGAACACATCCCCCTCAAATAATTCTGGTTCTGCTTTTGCTATGCTTCCTTTTGGGACCCTGAGAAGATGAAGCAGTTTTACAGTCAGGGCAGTACCAAGCCACTGTAGAGTAACAGTAAGTATCTGTCTCAGATACTAGAGCTGACTTGGGAAGTTACATTTTCTTGTGGTTGCTAGATTATTTAGGGTCACAAAAGAAAGCAAATGTCCTCTCCAATTTAAGATAAATCCAAAATGACTTAATACTGGCCAAAAGGTTGACAAGGCACAGAAAGACCATAAGGCAGAGTGCAGCTTCTTTGGACTACGAGGGAGCCAGTGCTGCCTCCCAGCCCCAAAGAGCAGAGGAGAGCCGTGGTTATCAGAGCCTAAAAGAGAGCAGGAAGAAGACAGCGCCACCTTGAGAAGAGTGGTGACTTTGCTACAGGATGCAGACAGCCTGGAAAGGTACAGAGGGGAGTTGGAAGACCAGACACCTTGACTGCACCACTTTCTTAGCCTCCAGTCTCCTGCCAAGGGCTCCCTCTGACCAAGCCTAAGAAACCA